GACTTTCTGAGTTAGAGTTTTTGATCTAGTTTCAAAATAAATTATAGATATTCAATATGTATAGAATATTTTTATCTACTATATATATTGTATATATGGGTTTTATTGTTTACAACCTTCAAAATTATATAGTGTAATTTAAAACTATAATTCCAAACTATATCTATATACACGGACTTGTAATTTCTTTTTAGTTGGATGATAAAGGATTTGTGAATTGTAGTATCCAGACTCATTCATCATTTTGAACATCTAAACCTATTCTAAAAGGCCCCACAAAGGACACACCACACTACTTATAGCGTATGTGATTATAGAACGAGATTTGTCAGGGTGAGTTTTTGAAACTTTGGGAGATATATAGAAATAAAATAACCACTAAGGGCTTTATTATTGCCTCTTTTTTAGCTAACTTCAAGAAAAAGATATAACACTACTTAGAACCTCTACTGAAGAAATATTTCCTTCTATCCTCCTAGTCACAACCTCCTTCTAGTAAAGACTTGAGGACATCCTTCAATAACTCCTAAACATACTTTGTCCTACCATTTTTAGTAATCAAGTTTGCATTATTTAAGAAGCAAAAAGTGTACATGCTATTTATTATCCCATTTATAAAAGTAGAAAAGCTATATCCCATGCACTTCCAATGACATCCCAACTATTAGACTCTCATTCTATATTGAAGCTTTGTATAGCTTCTAGCTCTAGATATTTGCATATATTGCTTGCTTTGCAGTAAATTGTGAGGCTCTAGAGGAGCATGTTGTGTGTGATGAGATCCAACTGATAATGTTTTTATGTCACATCTTCATTGAACAATCCTTCTGTAAGCTCCTTGAAGTTGGACTTCCCGGGAGGTCACCCAGCCCAGTACTATTCAAACCCAAGGACGCTTAACTCCAACTATCCCAAGACCCTTAACCGATTGGAAAAGGGGGTGCACTCTTGTTCATGGGCCCTTTCCCTCTATATTTGAACCCCATGGATCGTCTCTCAAGTCGTTCCCTTTGGTTGCTTACACCTTCTCAGTCGAAGATAGTTTTCAAGCAAATATAACAGTGTTATAGTGCAATCAATAAAAAAGAACGATTTGAGAGACAATCTATAAAGTTAAAATATAGAAGGAAAGGGCCCATAAATAATAATGCACCCTTTTTTTTAATCAGTTAAAGGTTTTGGGATATTTAGGGTTAAATATCCTTGGGTTTGGATAGTAGTTCTAAAAAGTCTAAATTTATAAGTTTACATATAGGTGATGAAATTTGGCTCCACTTGTTTCTTCATTCTAACAAGAAGATATTTTTAACTTGAAAAGAAGTTTCTTTATGTAAATAAACTAAAGAGAACCATGACTAAATACTCAAGAGCAACAATAGTTCTTGGACAGCTATTTTATAAACTTTATGTAACATAAACACTTGGGAATTGTGTGTCAAACCCCTCTAATCAACCTTGATCAATCCATGCAACATTAAGTGATCAAAAAAGAGAGCTAGAGTGAACTAATTTGAACAGTAACTCACCATGAGTTTTTAGTAAACTCAACACTTGATTTAGATTTAGTGCTTTTCATAGCGAGGTACACCAATAGCTGGCAAAAAAAAATACTAAACAAATATAATGATGATGTACCTATCTATTGAAGAAGCAACTCTAAGATTGCTTCTAATCTACTAGAAATTCCCCTCATAGCTCCTAGTAGGGAAGAACTAGCAATGCCATACTTTTGAGCATGTTTTGTGTTGAAAATTTATATTTGCCATAGCTTTACTGTAAACATATGAAAAATCTTGATTAAAATGTAAATAACCAAAGAGAACGATTCGAAAGATGATCCATAAAGGTTCAAAAATAAAGGGAAAGAGCCCATGAATAAAAGTGCATCCCTTTTTCTAATCAATGAAAGATTTTGGGATATATAAAGTTAAGTGTCTTTAGGTTTAAATAGTATTGGGTTAAATGACCTTCCGAAAAATCTAAATTCAAGAGTTTACATAAAATTTACCATATATCTTTAGCTATAGCCACCATGGTATAGACACCATGCCATAACTGTCTAAATTCTTAGTGTAGTCAATTTGGGTGGGATAGACTAGTGCCCAAGCTCATTACCACAAATATTCTATGTACACTTTATATACTCTTTTGATAAACTATGTTATGATTGATTGCATCATAAGGATTTTTATGTTAAAGAGCTATACTTATAAATTACATAATTAAACTATAATATTTTAATTTAATAATATAGTCTTACTTTATAGTTCTTATATGTGTGTGGTTAATCAACAACTTTACAAACTCACAATCACTAAGATATTATATAAAAATCACAATGAATTGATCATCAATCAAGCAATCTCACAAGCAAACTATAGATATTTACACTTGTACCCATTGATAAATATTTAACACCTAATACCATAAGGTATAATAGAGGTATACATATACAGAAAAACATATATTGTAATTATGCTAATAAAGCATATAAACCATCTCTGATATAAACTGAATATGTTTCTATATATAAGCAAAGATCTTTACTCTAATTAAGATATTTATTCCTATATCTTTAAGCATTTATCTAAATAATATATAATAATTGTCTAAATGCCACAAACATAATATTACATCTAGTGGCCTATGTGCACATAGAATATCCAAAACCCATATGTCCAGACAGGTGGGCATGGGAGTCTCTGCAACTCTAAAGCTTACCATCTCACTTATTAGCCAAAAATATCAGCCTTTGGAGTGATGAGCCCCAATTCCAAGCTGCATAAGAGGAATTTTACACTTAGAAGGGACAGATTGGGCCACTATATTTCCATTTGCCAGCTTTGGAACAAGTAGGATGGGGCCAGACAAGGCATGAGTGCCCTTAAATGCCTAATTTTACACCCTTGAGAAGAGAGAAGGCAAAAACACACTTTCACTAATCAAATCTAATTAAGGTGCCACAACTTGGCTATGAACCACTCTGTTCCACACCAGAATTCCCTCAACAACACTCTCAACCCCTTTGGGCAGATTGTTGACTTGAGCTCATCTAATCCATCCCATCCAATTTGTCCACACGAGCATAAACTAAGTTTTTGCTTAAGCCCTGCCCACTAGCCTTCTAGCATGGAGATACATACTTCTTATGTTAATTGAGGAGAAGTATAAGGCAACCTCTAAAGCATTTGCAAAGACAAGATCTTTAGAAGCAATATAACTACCCAGCTATCATCTTGGATCTCAAACCATATTGAAAAGAATTACAAATTTAAAACTCACCTTTATATCAAGTTTTATTGTTTACATATAACTAAATTAAAATTTATTTTTCCAAACTATAGTTTTTAAATTATTCTTATAAAATACTACTGTTAAGTGTCTAGTATCTTCTATTGTTAAAATAGAATATACTAAGCATTTTGAGCAAAATACATTATTTTTCCATATAATATTTTTATTATCATCTATTATAAGTAAGTGACCATCTAGTTGAAGGTGAAGATAACAAAAAATACCAGCTCTTTCTGTCATTGTAGACCATATACTTATGTTTATTTCAATATCATCAATTACTAAATTACAGTTATTTAATTTAGCTCTAAATTTGTTATTAGAAGATATTAAACTATTACTATTTATTATATGTGTCCCATAAAAATATAAAGGGCCATTTATTAGTTGTGCTCTATATGGCCAACGCTGATTATCAATTTTAACATAATTAATATTAGGAGGTGGATTATTATCATCAGGTAAACCTTTTGGATATGGTATTTTAGGATATGCCTCATTAGGATCTCTTATAGCATTATTTTCAAGCCCAACAAAGTCTATTGAGAAGTATCTATATACTGTTCCAATCATTCCCAAACCATATAATCTAGCATGATACTCAACTAATCTTAAAATTTGTAAGAACGTATCTCGAATATATTGGCCAGAAAATTGATAATTAGCCGGAAGTGGATTGCAATTTATAAAATTTCTAAAACCTGAAGGAATAATATAAATCCTAATCATAACTGCTTGATAACCAATACTAATAACTTCAAAAAGATAAAACCCATTATTGTTAAAAATTATTGGTTGATTAATATCAATACTATCTATTAAACGTCTTATTCGAGCTATAATATTCCCAATATTTCTATTACTAAAATGACCAAGCAGTCCAATCCATCTTGTTTGAGGTGGTTGAGCATAGCATAAACTAGTAAATATAATTAATAAAAAGAATTTAAAAAACATGGTAAGAAACTTATAGAAATATAATACACTAGATAAGAGGAGTTTCTTATATTTAATACTAAATATTCTAGATTATGCATAAAGTAACCTTCTTTATATTAAAAATAATAATTAAATCTAATCACTATTATTTTCATCTAAATATTTTATATTAATGTTTAAAGTATGTATGGATATGTTTATAATAGTATATTTAATAATAAATCTAAGATAAAGGCTTTGTGAATAATTTTTTATTTATAAATTATATTATTATATTTTATGGAAAAGAAATAGTGAATGTTACTTTGAAAAAGATACTAAAACCTTGTAGTTATGCTTTCATTGTGAATCTTGGGGCTCTTCTTTGGTTGGATCCTTTGGTTTCTCGTCTTTTGCTTTGACGTTCTCGCTCATACATCCTTGTTGTCTGTAAGAGAGCAAAATGAAAAAGAAACTTCCATTCGATGACTGATGTCTGATGTTTATTTTTTAATTTGTGAGCGGGTGCTCAATGGAGGCGTCCAAAATGATACAGCGGTTTCTTCGAGAGAGATGGCAAATCTACAAACGAAGGCGTAAGATTGTGTCTCAGTTTTCTTGCACAAGGAGTTTGACAAGGTAAATGCTGGTGTCAAGACGACGCTGCTAGGTTTCTTGAACAAAGAGATGTTATAGTTTCTAGCATGCTTGTTGAACATTTCAATATATGCTGACATGTATTTACGGAACTTATCACTAAACTTGAAGTGGACCTTAAGCTTATCCTCTAGGGTTCCACTGGAGCAGACGCGGTTTCGCGATGGACGGGAAGGCCAACGATTTCCTCAACTACAAGATGGGCAAGACTCTTGGAATCGGATCGTTTGGTAAGGTCAAGGTAGCCGAGCACATCCCCACTGGGCACAAGGTTGCCATCAAGATACTCAATCGCAGGAAAATCAAGGCCATGGACATGGAAGAGAAAGGTATGATACTACATTTTCCATTTCCGTGCGCTACTTTCTGATTCTTGCTACTCTTTCTTCCTCAAAGTTAGAAGAGAGATCAAGATCTTGAGATTATTCATGCATCCTCACATCATAAGGCTCTACGAGGTCGTGGAGACCGCGAATGATATTTTCGTGGTGATGGAGTATGTCAAGTCGGGGGAGCTATTCGATTATATTGTCGAGAAGGGGCGCCTCCAGGAGGACGAAGCCCGGCGTTTCTTCCAGCAGGTTCGTGCTCCTTCGCCTGGTGAAGAAAACTGAATATAACTCGCACACATCACCAGATCATTTCTGGAGTGGAATATTGTCACAGAAATATGGTGGTTCATCGTGATCTGAAGCCAGAAAATCTGTTGCTTGACTCTAGGTGCAATGTGAAGATTGCGGACTTTGGCTTGAGTAATATCATGCGAGATGGACACTTTCTGAAAACGAGCTGTGGAAGTCCAAACTATGCCGCTCCAGAGGTAAGCTTCGACTTTCTTTTTTCCTCTAGAAAGCCTTTTCCTTTCAGGTGATCTCGGGAAAGCTTTATGCAGGACCAGAAGTGGATGTATGGAGCTGTGGTGTCATATTGTACGCACTTCTGTGTGGAAGTTTACCTTTTGACGACGAGAACATCCCAAACCTTTTCAAGAAGATCAAGGTAGTAGCTTTGGATGCTTGTGCCAATGCCTTTCTCTCAACAATGGCGCTCGCAGACGGGTTTGTACACACTTCCCAGCCATCTCTCGCCCGGTGCTAAGGATTTGATACCACGGATGCTGCTCGTTGAGCCAATGAAACGGATGACTATTCCCGAGATTCGCCAACATCCCTGGTTCCAAGCTCATCTTCCCCGATACCTTGCGGTGCCTCCACTTGATACGGTTGAACAAGCCAAACGAGTAAGATTTCTCTTGTTCTTTTCGTTATGTTTGTCCTGACTCTGACGTTTAGATTGATGAGGATATTTTGAGAGAAGTGACCAAGCTTGGTTTCGACAGAAATCTCCTTGTGGACTCTCTACGAACTAGAGTGGCAAACACGGTAAGTAGTTTTCTATTTCGCAGAATCGATGAATATAACATTTATTTCTGGTTATCCAGGCAACTGTCACTTACTACCTTATGCTGGATAATAGGCGGCGAATGTCCCATGGTTATTTGATTGATGAATTTCAGGAGGTAAAGGTAGGAATTCATTTTTTTGAAAAAAGAAAAACCGAGATAATTGCGAGAATTGCTGTAGGAAATGGCTTCCCCTCAAACCGGACCAGTATCAGCGAAACAACTTCAATCGCCGTTTATGCATATTCAAAGCCAGCGTGGTCCGTCGCCTTCAAACGACATATCTAGATTTACTGCCGAGAGAAGATGGGCTTTGGGACTACAGGTAAGTTTTATCATTCTTGTTGTTTGTGTTTTCTGATTTTGTTTTTCTTAAACCTCAAGTCCCGAGCTTCTCCACGGGACATAATGAACGAGGTGCTCAAGGTGCTGCAAGATATGGAGGTTTTGTGGAAGAAGAACGGGAATTACAACGTTAAGTGTCGCTGGAACTCTCCCGCGCCCTGTTCCAGAGAAGCCGTCGGCTCTCCGATGGTGCCAGGCTCTCCAATCCACGACAATGGCTTAGAAAAACTCGTGGAGCAGCAGCAGCAGCAGCACAAGATTGGCAGCAGTCTTGTAAAATTCGAGCTCCAGGTACTCTCATCCAGAAAACATGATCAAAGTTTTCACGGGAGTTTTTCTTCGTTTGTTTGACAATGCAGTTGTATAAGGTGAGAGAGGAGAAGTACCTTCTCGACCTCCAGAAGCTTGAAGGCCCGTTTTTTATCTTTCTCGATTTTTGCGGCTCCTTCCTGGCCGAGCTAAGGGTCCTTTGAGAGCTCTACTGTACGGTACAGTGTGTTGTATGTACAAGTATGTAAAAACTAGCTTGCCAAGTGGCGACCTTTTATTTGGCAACAAAGCGGGCTTTCCCTCTTCTTCGGAATCAGTAGAGCTGCTGGCTAGGGTTTGGAGCGATGGTGCCCGAGGCTGCGACTGGCGGGGAGGAGGCGGAGGTGCCTCTCAGCGATGGCGGCGCAGCTATGGACGAGGTAAATGCCGCTGCTCCTGCGCCTGAGGAAGACGAAGGAAAGGAGGAGAATGCAGAGAACGGGGAGGAAGAGGAACAAGAAGCCACAGTGGAGAATGCCGCGAAGCTGTTTGAGTCGGGATGCAATGCTCTCAAGGCTGGAGATTTAGAGAGCGCATCGAATGATCTCTGCAAGGCGCTAGAAATGAGGTACTCTTGTGGAGAGACAATGCCAGTGGCTGATTGTAGTGCTTTTCTTTTTGTGGTTTCTATTTCTTTGCAGGGTGATGCTTCACGGCGAGCTTGCTCCAGAGTGTGCATCGGCTTACTACAAGTATGGGTCGTGTCTTCTCTACAAGGTTCAAGCGGAGAGGGATATTTTCTCCGAGGCTACTCCGGCTAAGGAGAAAGGAGTAACGATTTCTGAGCCAGCAGAAGCGGAAGAAGGTTAGTTTTTCTTTTATTCTTTTTAAGCGCTGTGGTATAACTTAGGAAATGTTCCGCAGAGAGCAATGAAGCAGAGGAGAAAGTTGAAGGAGAAGACGGTGAAGATATCCAGGAAGAAGAGGAGTCTGATTTGGAGCTAGCCTGGAAGATGATGGACATTGCACGGGTGATCCACGAAAGGCAGCACACGCACACTTTGGAGGAGGTGGATGTAATCTCTGGCCTGGCTGACATAAGTCTCGAGAAAGGTTGGTGACCAGATGCTGTTAGCTGTGGGAACTAAACCTTTGCATTGTTCCTTTCAGAGGATTTTCAAACTTGTTTGGATGACTACAGCAAAGCACTGGAAATTCTCAAGGGACTCGTGGAGCCGGATAATCGTCAACTGGCAGAGCTGTATGCTACTGATGAGACTTTGGTGTTAACCTTGACCCTTTCTTGACAGATATTTTAAGATGGCTCTGGCGAAGCAGCTCTCGAAAGCTCCCAAAGAAGCGATCGAGTGCTGTCACCTGGCTGTGGCTGTTTGCGAGAACCGCCTGGAAAGGCTCAAAGGAGAGGTCACTTGTCGAGACGAGGAGATCAAGGAAATGGAATTGCTGCTTGTTGATCTCAAAGAAAAGGTATCGTGGTACAAGTATTACTTGTTTTCTCATCTTTGATTTTGTTTGTGACACAGGTGGACGAGCTGCATCAAATGGCTGCCGCTCCTCCACTCTTGGAAGTCTTGGAAGCAGAGAACCCTGTAGTGGCGGAGACTGTGAAGCAGACATTCATGGCCGTGGCTGATATGGCGAGCAATGGAAGCAAGGCACCGATGGAGACAACAACAACAACGATGACAACTCCCTCCACTTCCAAGGACGCGGTAATAAATCTGGGAGTTGTGGGACGAGGGATCAAACGTGCTACTCCAGTCCTGATCACTGACAATGGAAGCGTCGCCAAAGTTTCAAAGGCATTCGAGGGAGACACGGCATCCGCTGGAGATGGATCATCGAAAAAGGCAGACTAGTCTTCCATCGACTTCATAACGTTGAGAGGTACTCAACTTAAAGCTTTGTCTCTAATCCTTATAATCTTCTATTTTGCAGTACCAAACGATGCCTTTTGGAAGAGAAAGAGACACTCCAAGTCCAAGAAAAAAATTGTTTCTTTCAACTGACTGAAGCTCATAGCCAAGACCAAGGAATTTTACTTGTCGAGAGAAGAGAGGAGAAATCTGTGACAATGTCAAAACGTGGAAGAAAGCAAACAAAAGAGAAGCCACGTAGCTATGCACGTTTGAAAAAATATGCCACAAGAGCCCTAAAAGGGTATCTAGGGTTTAGGAGCTCTTCCTTCCATTCGGCGTTGGTGCGTGGAGCTGGATCTGGCGCGCGCAATGGCGGTAACCAGAAATCTTGCAGCTAGAGAGCATTGTCGTGCTATGTGGGAAATTCGCCTTGCAGAATAACACCGTCCGTGTCACAAATCTCTCGATCAGGGCCACCCAGCAGGACATCCTCAACTTCTTCTCCTTCTCCGGAGAGATCCAAAACGTCGAGCTTGAGAGGCAACATTTCTTTCTCCTCTTCTTGCTTGATCTCGAACTTTCGTGGGAAATTTTCTTTTTTCGCAGGGATGGAGAAGCCTCCCAGGTCGCCCATGTAACATTCAAAGACCCTGACGCTGTGGACACTGCACTCTTGTTGTCTGTAAGTCTCGATTCTCGGCTCCGATTCCTTTGTTTTTCATTTTTTTTGTTCCACAGGGCGCTACAATCGTCGATCAATCTGTGCTAATCGCTCCCGTGGAAGACTGGACGCCATCGAACCAAGTGGTATTTCTCCCAGCTTTTAGCAACTTTTCTTCCATTCTCTCACATTTTTCCAACTCAGGCTGGATCATCCGTTCCCGAGAACAAAGCCCAGGCCGTGATCACCACCATGCTCGCCAAAGGCTTCGTTCTCGGCAAGGACGCCATGGGAAAGGCCAAAGCTTTCGACGACAAGCACCGCTTCACGGCAAGCGCAACCGCGACGATGGCCGACATCGACAAGAAGATTGGCTTCCGAGAGAAGATCAACGCCGGGACAGCGGCGGTGAATCAAGGCGTCCGAGCAGTGGATCAAAAGTTCCAGGTCTCGGAGAAGACGAAGACGGCCTTCACCGCGGCCGAGCAAAAGATGTCGAGCGCCGGGTCGGCCTTGATGAAGAACAAGTATATCTTCACCGGGGCGAGCTGGGTGACGGGAGCATTCAACAAGGTGGCCAAGGCAGCCAACGATGTGTCGCAGAAAACCAAGGAGAAGGTCGAGAAGGAGGAGCAAGTTGGGGGGATCAAACGCCAGCCCAGTGGCGATTCTACCCCGAGAACTGCCGAGCTCTTCCCGGACGAAGCCATGCCTCAAGCTCATCACGTTTGATTCTTGTAGTGGTTTCTCTCCTTTCTCTCTTCTTTCGCTTTATTTTTTCTTGCTCGCAAGCTTCCTTCCATTTCCATGTAAAATTGTCAAATATATATTGTCTCTTTGTTTATAGCAATTCATAGTTCCTTGGTTTGGGACTTGGAAAATTTAGGGCTTGCCGATGGGGAGGGGAGCCAGTGGCATAGCTGGGGGTATTCGTCGAGCTCGATCGCGGCTGGGGCGATTTCGGGCGCAATCGGATCGCAAGAATGCAGCGACGGTGGCAATGGCTGAGGATTTGGCAGCACGGGATTCAGCAGCTAGGCGTAGGGTTAGGGCGCTCTCACCGCTCCAAGTGGTGTCGCCGTGGCCGCAGAGGCGCTGGGGGGCTCTGGGCGGGAAGAGCCAGCGATTTGGAGCGAATCCAGGTACTGCATTTCAGCAGTGTGGTGTGCGGTGTTTTGCGAGCTCCGGAGAGCTAGAGGGTGATGAGGATTCCACCCAAGCATCCGAGTCGTCTTCGTCGGAAGACGAGGCTGTAGAGGAAGCAGGCTCTTCGAGGGATCAACCGGGTAAGAGCGAGGCGGCGGCGGCGAAGGAAGATGTCAAGAAGAAAGCAAAAGAGAAGAAGAGCAAAGAGGAGGAAGAGGCGGCCTTCCAAGCTATGAAGGCCAGGTTTCGCAAGGAGTTCGAGAGCAGGATTGTCAAGAACGAGAATCTGGAAGTCAAGAGTAAAGATCTTGAGGTGTCGCTAGACGGTTTTTCTTACTACCTCGAGTAAGTGATTCTTTGCTTTGGTTTCATGCTTGAGTAACATTTTTTCTCCATTTGTAGCGCAAACACGCGGGAGTTACTCCTTGATTGTTCTATGGCTCATCTCCGTCAACCAGAGTTTATGGAATATAGCCAAGGACTGCCGTCTTCAAGCCAAAGGATCCTTTTGCATGGACCTTCGGGTATGTATGTATTTTCAGGTGCTAGCAGCGTCTAAATTGTGATCTTTCCAGGCTCTCAGATTTACCAAGAGCAGCTAGTCAAGTCACTTGCACACAAACTCGACGCTTCTTTTCTTACTTTAGACAGCACTATTCTCTCTCCTCATGTAAGGTCTCTTTTCTTTCTCCATGGACTTCACCACCTCTTTTATCTAGGATTATGGCGATCAGGACGTGTCTGGAGAATCCGAGCTCGACCACGAAAGCCGGGGACGTGAGTCGAGATGGACAGACAATGAGTCTGATCAAGATGCAAGTGATGAAGAAGACGACAATGACGGAAGCGATAGCGAAGAGCCATATCGCATTTGTGCGCTGCTTGAGGTTGCAGAAGCAAGCTACAAGCACAAGCACGAGGTAGCTTTAAAGTCTTATGTTCTTTTATGGTCTTACGTTATCCCTAGATTCAAAAGGGTTCCGTGGGGTCTACAGATCAGCAAGAAGAATCTGGTTCAGCGCCTCAGATAAAGTTGAAGAAAGGTATTCATGAATTCCTGGTGGTTAATTTCTCAGCTTTTTTATTTTAATTCCTGCAGGAGATCGTGTGAGATTTGTTGGAAGTACAGAGTCGAGAGGGGCTAAGAAAAGGTTAATAGATGTCCTGAAAGTTTCTGTTTGTCAGCTGACGAGAATCATGTGATGTTTCTCATGTTTTTGTCAGACAGTCTTTGAAGAAGGGCCAAAGAGGCTGGGTTATTTCTACACCGAAGGGCCTTTCAAACAATGTTGGGGTACGATTCATTAGCTCTGAAAAGAGAGCAGAACATTTTGGCAGAAGTTCTGATGAATCAGCTACAAGTTTTGTAAATTGGTGTCACTGTAAGTTACGCTGTCTTTTTGTTATTGCTCTCTGATATGGAATGCTGACAGTAACGGAACTAGAGCTTGATGATGGTCCGGTAGCTTGCGCAGCAGATGAGTGGGTTGCGGCCCTTGAAGCACTGGCAGAGGTATTTTATAAACCTTTTAATAACAGTTTCGCTCATTTGAGAAATATCAGGTTTCAGAGAGTTACAAGCCTTTAGTGGTCTACATTCCCGATCCTGAAATCTGGTTTGAGAGGGCTGTGCCATTGGCTCAAAGACGAGTATTTCTCGAGCAAGTTGAAGAGCGGCTGGATAAGATTTCCGGCGCCGTTGTTCTTATTGCGTCAAGATCAAATGATGATCCTGAGTTTGAGAGAAGATCAAAACTGGTAAATAGTAGCCATTTTGCCAGTAGCCATTTTGTCTGATTTCTCTATGCAGGCGAAGTCTTGTTCTAAATGGAGAAACCATACCGTTAATTTGGAGGACATATATCATCTATTTGTAAACACAGTCAACATATATCCACCTCAAGTAAGGTTTTGGTATTAAACTGCATTGCTTATCTATGACGGTATAGGACGAAAAGAGCTTTGAGGAATGGAAGCAGCGACTTGAGCACGATAAGACGATATATGCATCTAGAAAAAGTATTCAGAGAATCCAGAAGGTATTGTTTGTTTTTTCTTCTTTCTTACCGAATTCTATTACAATTTCAGGTACTCGAACTCCACAACTTGGAGTGTCAAAGTTTACCAATTTTGAACACCTTAGAACTTTATCTGCCACTTGCCCGTATGTAACGCGATTTTTTTATTTTTTTATTTATTTTATTTTCATAGCTCACTGGTACGTGTTAGGAATTGAGAAAGCTGTCGGATGGGCGCTCAACCACTACCTCAGTTCTTGCAGCGCATCTCCATCCATAGATAACGGGAAGCTTTCTATCCCCTTGCAGAGGTAAATTGGTACACTTTTGATGGTATATAACTCTGGCGTTTACAGCCTTGAAAGAGCTCTTGCGATGCTAAAGGCTCAAGACGGGAGAAAAATACCCGCAACACCTACTAAGGGACTAAATCTAAGTGTATGTGTCGAGATTTCGTGCAATTTTGTTATGTTTTAATTGTATTTTACATACAGACTGTAGCGGAAGACAAGTACGAGAAGGCGCTTATCTCGTCTGTCATTCCAAGCGGTGAAATTGGCGTTTTGTTCACTGATGTTGGTGCACTTGAAGATGTCAAGAAAGCGCTTCAAGAGCTTGTCATTCTTCCATTGCAAAGGCCGGAACTCTTCAAAAGAGGAAATTTGACAAAGGTAATCGAGTTATGCTACAAAAATGTTATGCCTAAGAATTTTCTACTTTCAGCCATGCAGGGGAGTGCTCTTGTTTGGACCACCTGGAACCGGCAAAACACTCCTTGCCAAGGCTGTTGCCACGGAAGCGGGAGCCAATTTCATAAGTATTACGAGCTCGACCATCTCTTCGAAGGTAACAGCAACATTTCTCCAATTTCCTTAGGAAACCAATTTTGCTGTTTTACAGTGGTTTGGGGACGCTGAGAAACTAACGAAGGCACTTTTCTCCCTTGCGAAAAAATTGTCACCGACGGTTGTCTTCGTGGATGAGGTCGATAGCCTTCTGGGTGCAAGAGGTGGAAGCTCAGAACATGAGGTCACCCGGCGTGTGAAGAACGAGTTTATGGCTGCTTGGGACGGTCTTCGGACCAAAGACGATGAGCGCATCATCGTTTTGGCGGCAACAAATCGCCCGTTCGACCTTGATGATGCAGTCATACGACGTTTACCACGGAGGTGAGCAATGTCGTATACATTTTCTGATGACGATGTAAGTATCTTGCAACAGGATTTTAATCGACCTTCCACAAGCATCAAGCCGAGTGAAGATACTCGGAGCTATTTTATTGAAAGAGAACCTGGAACCGAATTTTGACATGATAGAGCTGGCAAAGATGACGGAAGGTTACTCTGGAAGCGACCTCAAGGTAAAAACTCGAGATCGCCACTGGTAAATGACACTTCGTTGTTGCAGAACTTGTCGATCGCAGCAGCCTATAGGCCCATCCGCGAGTTTTTGGGAAAAGAGAGCGAGGTAATTAGCATTTAACACTTCTCCAAGGCTGACTTGTCTTACTTTGAGCTACTTTGAGCAGCTGAAGCAGCAAGGCATTTGTATCAATGGAGAAACAGTACAATCGATGTTGCGACCGATAACTCTAGATGATTTCCGGCAATCGATGACACAGGTACGTAAGACTCTTCACGATCTGGACTGAAGTTTCACGCTTTTTCTCAGGTGTGTGCCTCTGTAGCGTTTGATGCATTGAGTATGAACGAGCTCAGGCATTGGAACGAGCAATATGGCGAGGGAGGAAGTAGAAAGAAGAGGAACTTTGGATTTATGATATAGTCGCGAGTATAGAGACAGGAAATCTCTTGTAACATAGCATGTTTTTTGTCTGACGGAAGAGAGCTAGATTGATAAGAGTATCGGACGGCTCTTGTTGTGGATACCATCCTCATCTCTTGTGATATTTTGCAGCACATCGTGCGGTCGAGGATGCGCCACGTGGCAGTGTGGCCTTAGTTTATTTCAGTTCATCGTTTTTACTTTACATGGCCATGGAGCTCGGAAGAGCGACCATGGTGCTCGGCGGTGCGTCCGCCAGCACGGATTTCTCGCGATTGATGAGCGTAAGCTCCACCAGCGCGAGCGCATTGGATAGGGCTTGGAGGCGTGGCAGGAGCGCCTTGGAATGGCGTGGCGGTAGCAATCGGCAGAGGCGAGAGGTATGAAATTCGAGCTCCCGAGAGAAAATGCGGGGATTCTTCGTCTAAAATCGCTCTGGTTTTTGTAGAGAGCCTGGCTGCGAGCGATTGATTGCTGGGAGAGTAGCTTGAGACGTCGGGGGTCACACTGGAAGGTATCGGCAGTGTCCACGTCTGTGAAAGAAGTAGCCCAGGAGGTAGAGTCTTCTTCTTTGCCTTTCAATTTTCTCGAGGAGGATGATAGTGAGAAGGCAACCTCAAAGAAAGGCAAGGGCGGCACCACAGGGGCGTCGTCAGTGTCTTCCGGCGTTAGGCTGGAACACATTAGCAAAACTTTCAAAGGCACTGCTCTACTTAGAGATATCAACTGGGAGGTGAAGAAAGGAGAGAAAGTTGGGCTGGTTGGAATCAATGGAGCTGGGAAAACCACGCAATTGAAGATTATATCAGGGGAAGAACAGCCAGATTCTGGGACTGTGCTTAAGGCCAAGCCGAACATGAAGATCGCGTTTCTCACGCAGGAGTTTGAGGTGGTTCCGACCAGAACTTTGAGGGAGGAGTTCCTCAGCGCTTTCAAGGAGCAAATGGAGATATCGAGGAGGATTGAGCAAGTCCAAAAGGCTCTCGAGACCGCCACCGAGGACATGGCGTTGATGGGGAAGTTGCTGGACGAACTAGACAAGCTCCAAAAGAAGGCCGAGGCGACTGATCTCTACGACGTCGACGTGAAAGTGAACAAAGTTATGCCGGAGCTGGGATTCTCGCAAGATGATAATGATCGCTTGGTGGCATCGTACAGTGGAGGGTGGCAAATGCGTATGTCACTGGGTAAGATCTTACTCCAGGTATGCTTTCAAGTGTTCTTTTCTCCTTTCTGTTCCTCAAGGCAAGTTCAACTTCCAGGAACCTGATCTCTTACTTCTGGACGAGCCGACGAATCATTTGGACATGGACACAATTGAGTGGCTTGAAGGCTATTTGAAAAAGATCGAGGTGCCCATGGTGGTTGTCTCTCACGACCGAGCTTTCCTGGATCAGCTGTGTACGAAAATTGTAGAGACGGACATGGGAGTGTCAAGAACATACGAAGGAAACTACAGTAACTACGTGCAGGCCAGAACGACGTGGGCTGCAGAACAGGAAATGAAGTGGAGAAAGCAGCAAAAGGAAATAGCTCAAGCCAAGGAAAATGTTAGCAGTGCTAACAGTGGACAGGCAACATCAGCTAAACGGGTACATTTTGACGTCCTTTCTCGATAGTCTCAAGTAACCCGCGTTTTTATTTCTTTTGCAGCAACTTGAAAAGATTCAAGAGAAGGATCTTGTGGAAAAGCCTTTTGAGCACAAGTCGATAAGGTTTCGTTTTCCTGAAGCTGGACGGAGTGGTCGCATGGTTGCTAGTGTAAAAGATCTCACCCTCCAGTACGGGGAAAAGGTTAGCTTTCTTTTTTATTTGTATCATCCCGTGCTTATCAGTCGCTTTGTGTGCAGGTTTTGTTCAAAAGTGCAAACATGAATGTGGAAAGAGGCGAGAAACTTGCAATTATAGGTCCAAATGGTTGTGGCAAGAGCACCTTACTGCGCCTGATTCTGGGTTATGAGAAACCAACCCGTGGAGATATAACTCTCGGCGAGCATCGAGTTGTACCCAACTACTTTGAGCAGAATCAGGTTCTTTGGTTCTTCTCCCAGCGAAGAAATGGCTTCTCACCGTTAGTGATGCCAGGCTGAGGCATTGGATCTTAACAAAACGGTCTTGGAAACAGTGGAAGAAGTAGCCGAGGACTGGAGGCTCGACGACATCAAAGGCCTGCTTGGAAAGTGCAACTTCAAGGCTGAGATGTTTCCCAGGAAAGCGGCCTTTTTGAGTGGAGGCGAAAAGGTGACAAGTGCTTTTTACCAGTTTGTTCCCCCATTAATACTTCCTTGACAGGCTCGGTTGGCATTTTGCAAATTCATGGTCAAGCCTTCGACTTTGCTCGTACTGGACGAGCCTACAAACCACCTTGACATTCCTACGAAAGAAATGCTGGAGGTATGAAAGCTAATCGTGCCTTGAGGACCGGCAGTAACGAGCTGATGGTTTTCCAACTCGCAGGAGGCTCTGAGAGAATACCACGGCACGGTTCTCGTCGTCTCGCACGATCGCTACTTTGTGCGGCAGATTGTCAACAGAGTCGTGGAAGTGAAGAACGGACGACTGGAAGACTATAACGGAGACTACAACGTAAGCATCTCTAATTCTCGCATTGCTGCTCACACACTGCTCTTCTTTGGCAGTACTATCTCGAAAAGAACTTGGAGGCACGGAGAAAGGAGCTCGAGAGGGAGCAAGAGCTGGAAGGCAAGGCCCCGTCAGTGAAAGCCAAGTCCAAGATGTCCAAGGTACCTTGACTCTTTACTAAAAATCAAACTAAAACACATTAGGACGACTAAGAACGATTCAAAGCTTTCGTCTAAAACTTCTATTGTTCGTTGTTCCAGGCTGAGAAGGAACTCCAGAAGAAACAAAAGGCCCAATCGTACCAGCAGAAAAACTCCAAAGGAAAGTTGTCAAAGAATTCCAAGCGCTGGAATTAATAGAGTCAATTCCTTTGTACAGGATCGAGCCAATCAATCAAACGGTCGTTATCTAAGTGTAATCGTGTTTATACTTAACCGAGCAATAGCTTTAGGGTTCTTGAGTGTCAATTTTAAACTAGCAAAATAGGGTTCTTGAGAGTGGTGGTCCACGCGGAGAGCACTGTGGACGGCGACAAAAGAGGTTGAATTGGCGCTTGTTCCTTTTGAGCCGGCGGGTAAGATGTGAGATTATGGGAATTGGAGGCCAGGCGAGGCCAGTCAACTCCGATTTGCGGAATAATTTGGGGACAAAACGAAATGCAGCAGTGGCACGCGGGCGCTGGCGATGCTGCTCGCCTAGATCCGCATGGTGAGCTCATCGGATGGGCGGGCCATCGCGAATTGGAGCAGTTGTCTCGAATCCCTCCGCCGGTTCGTGCTCGTCCTCCCACTGGAAGAACACGATGGGAGCATGTGGAAGAAGAATTCGCCCGGCGCCGGCAAGAATCCTTCCTCCCAGGAGCGGCATTCCAATCTTCGCGCGAATGCGAGGAAGGAATTCGTCCAGGCAATCGTGGGACGGGAAGAATTGGGCGTGGTTATCTGTGACCCAGAGAGGCTGCCACCGCTGGAGGCGGCGTACGTGGATTTCCTTCGGATGTTCCCCAGGTTTGCGGAGAGTCTAGCCGTGGACGATATGCGCGCTCGCGAGTACGCCCATCTCCGCCACCGGGTGTGCTGCGACTACTCGGGATTTGGCCTCTTCTCGCACCTCCAGAGAGTTTGCAACTCGCCATCTTCGTCCTTCCGTCTCGCATACGTCTCTGCCAATCTCCCGACGCACGCGCTCTACGGATCTTCCACTGGATCATCCAGCCTCGAGAGCCATGTCCGCCGCAAGATCATGGATCACTTTCGGATCAGCGACACCGACTACTGCATGGTGTTCACGGCCAGCAAAGGCAGCGCCGTCAAGCTCTTGGCAGAGTCGTATCGCTTCGATCTCCACCAGCGCCTGCTCACGTCGTACGACCACCATAGCCAGAGCATCGAGTGGATGATCGGCTGCGCGAGGGAGAAAGGTGCCAAGGTGTCGTCGGTGAGATTCCGGTGGCCATCGCTGAGGATTTGCTCCAGGGAGTTGCGGAAGCAGCTCGTGGAGAAGAAGGTGTCCGGGAGGAGAACCGTCAAAGGGCTGTTTGTTTTTCCACTCCAGAGCCGAGTGACTGGCGCGAGGTACTCGTACCAGTGGATTCCTTTCGCGCAGGAGAACCACTGGCAGGTTTTGCTGGATGCCTCGGCTCTCGGGCCCCGGGATATGGATGCGCTGGGCTTGTCGGTGTTTAGGCCCGACTTCATCGTCAGCTCCTTCTACAAGGTGTTTGGAGCCGACCCCTCGGGATTCGGGTGCCTGTTCATCAAGAGGTCGGCCATCAAGTGCTTGCACAACACGACGAGAGCGAGATCAGTGGGGATGGTGAAGCTCTTGTCTTGCCCGTCGTCGCAGCTGGGAGAAGAAGAGAGGCCCGAGTTCCCCCCGGGCTTGGAGCGGGACGTGGATCCCAGCAACGTCAGCTCGTTCTCGGGGCCTCTATCAGCGGAGGAGATTCGAGCGGCCTCGGGAGAGATCTCGTCCAGTTTGGCCGACAATCATGCAGACCATCATCGTGCCACGCAAGAGACGTGCGCTTCAGCTCCGGGGAAGCGTGAAGCTTCGCGTGACAAGGAACAGGTGGAAGAAATCATGGTGCTGTGTCCACGTCCAAGCGAAGAAGTTGACGACAAGAAGTCGGAGATTGATGATACGTCGACGCACAGTAGTCCACGGAGTGCGCAGTCTTCGAGAGGATCCCCGACGTTCAAACAGCACAGTAGTCCACATTCTTCGAGTGAATCTTCGCCGCAGCAAATTGACATCAAAGGGAAGCGCAAGATGGAGGAGGTGATTGAGGAGGCGGAGAGTTCTCGCTGGAGAAGCGAAACAGGCGGGCCCGAAAGCAGCACAGGACATGGGGAGAGTTCGTCTCAGCTTCGCAGGAATCTACCCGAGATCTTCGTCGAAACAAGCCCGCCCCCACCACCACCACCACCGAAAACTCTGATCGAACTTCTATCTCGTCCCGCCCCTGAGAAGAGACCATCGCTCCCTCCATCACCACCACCGCCAGCACCGCCAGCTCAAGTTAAGAGGCTCGTCGAGCTTCTGCATGATCCCGCGGTTTCGGATGGAGGGTCTTCGGATTTGGAGGAAGAAGATGAGCTCCGGGTGGTTTGCAAGGCGCTGGACCAGACAAAGGTGCTGGGAATGATAAACATCAAGAACAGGCTGAGGTATCTCATCAGCTGGCTGCTGCTCTCTCTGGCGAAGCTCCGCCATCCGGCCTCGTCGTCGCATGGATTCAAGGCACCGCTGGTCCAGATTTACGGCCCCAGCGGGAGGAAATACGATCGAGGTGCGTCCATGGCTTTCAATCTCTACGACTGGGATGGGCTTCTCTTCCAGCCGACGCTCGTCCAGCGGCTCGCGGATCGAAACAGCATATCGCTGGGACTTGCGCAGATCAAGAACGTGAAGTTTGTGGACTTGGTGCCGGACTTCCAGAACATATCTCCCAGGAAGAGCAACGCATTCGGTTCGTCCCAGAGTTCTTCGCCGGAGAGCCAGCAAGAGTTCCTGGTGGTGACCATCGCTTTGAGCTACGTGAGCAGCTTCGAGGATGTTTATAGAGTGTGGGAGTTCGTCGCGAAGTTTTTGGATGCTGATTTTGTGAACAAGGAGGTGTGGAGGTACCACGCCATAAACCAGCAGATGGTTGTTCTTGGGTCCTTGTGAGAGTGATCGAGCGAGAGAAAGATCTCAATAAGCTCTCTCAATTCATTGAGATTCTACAATAATCGAAGAGGCTAGCTATGTCACAAGACTCACAGAAGCTTCACTGATTGTTTTCGTTGCGCTCCAGAGCTGGAGAAAGGCGTGTGTGAGTCAAAGAAACAAAAGAAAAAGAGAGGGAATCACGCACTGTTGTAGTTGAGCAGCTTTTCGATGAGATCGACGTGAGTCATGAGCATTCGCCGGCAGCAGTAGCGCACAAGTCCCAAAGCATCGAGCGCTTCACTGTCAATTTCCATTTTTCTCAGAAAGACGAAGAGAAGAAGCTTGGGAAGTTCTTAAATACCTCTCTGGGTAATCGGCCTGGAGAAGATCCAAGTAGGTGTCCCATTTGTTGCCGATCACCTGGAACTAGCGAGCTTAGCGCACGGCCAGAGAGGATAGCAAAGAGATCCTACCTTGCCGCAAGTGAAGCAGCGCACTGGAATGATCATCTTGAGGTTTTAGGGTTCTTGGCTCGACTCGTTTGCCCTAAATATTCTCTTTAGCTATGGCGAGCGAGCGTCTCCAGCAGGCGATTCTACTCCTCCCGCTGTTGCTCATCGCGTGCGATGTCTGGACTGCTGTTCGTCCTCTCCCTGCTAAGCATCACCACCACAGCGATCGGCAGGCTCCCCAGGAACAAGTCGTCCAGGTAAATTTTCCTAGATTTGTGCTCTTAATTCTACGTTGTCTATGGACACTGTTCTTTGAGCCGCCTTTTTCACGGACAATCTTCACAGAGCTCCACATTTCGTCTTTCCAATTTGATCTTCGATTTTTTCTTGCAGCCGCCCTACGTACCTGGAGCCAAGGACGCGGCCAGTTACGGTGGAAAATTTCACATCTCGTTTTGCACGTCGTGTTCGTTCAAGTAAGCAAACTTCTCAAGAACTTGAGTAGAAAGTTCTGATGCATTCGTGGTGTTTGTAAGGAACCAAGCGATGCAGACGAAAACTATGCTCGAGACTCTCGTGCCTGGCACCGTCGTTGTGCTGTCGAACTATCCTCCGCCATTCCACAAGCGCATGCTCAGCAAGATCGTTCCAGCGATCCAGTTTGGAGGCATCGGCGTTGCTTTGGCTGGAGAGCAAATCTTTCCAATGCTCGGCTACGCTGCCCCGCCCGCGTGGTACAACACGTTCCGCCAGAACAAATTCGGAGCGGTGGCCAGCTGCTGGCTCATTGGGAACTTTCTACAGAACGCACTCCTGGGCACGGGAGCTTTCGAAGTTTACTACGATGGTGATCTGGTAGGAAAAACACCTTTTTTTCACGTATAGGTGGATGACTAAAAGTTCTCTTTTTCCTCCTACGCAGGTGTTTTCCAAGCTTCAGACAAAAAGATTTCCGACAGATGACGAGCTTCGTGATTCCATTGGGAAACTTTTGGTACGGAAGACAGGCACGGTATATTAGTTATGGTTCTTGATGACTGACGGTGCTTTGTATGGTCCGTGCTGTCCGTCCGAGTAACGAACTGTAAAAACTCTTCTCCTTTTTTTCCCTAAATCTCGGCTGCAGGAGCAGCAGCAGCCGACTCTCATTTAAAACTCGCGTGGAGTCGTGTAAAGAAATATTTGTTCCCGCCAAAGTGAGAAAAAAATGGAGGGAATTATGTGCTAAAATCTTGTTAAGCTTGTCACCTTCTTCGAGCGATCCATCGTCTTGGCTGAGGTGAGAGCTTTTTCTCTCTTTCCAGTGCTTGCTAATGCAAGATCTTCTCTTGTGTACAGCAAGAACGCGAAAGCCAGAAGAAAGATGTCACAGCCCCTGAGGTGCCCGGCCGACTTTCCGGAGCTCCTGTGGAAGGACTGCCAGGCAAAGTCGAACGAGCTGTGCGATGTAGAAATCGTTGTCGGAACTCGCAACTTCTGGTGTCACGGGAGCATCCTTGCGGCGTCGAGCGAGTTCTTCCGCTCGGCCTACAACCCATCCGCCTCGGGAGTCAAGATCATCCGGCTTTCATCCATCCCTGGAGGCCCCCACGTCTTCGAGCTCGTCCGGAGGTTCCTCTATGGCCAGGACTTCACCGTGACCGACGCCACCGTCCTCGATGTCTGGCAAGCCGCCGACTTTCTTGGCATCACTCCTCGCAAGCCCGATGGAGTGAGCCTCCAGGCGAGATGCAAGTCGGTCTGGGACTCCCGCGTCCAGCACTCTTGGCGGTCGTGCCTCCATCTCCTGTGCAAGGCTGCCAAGCTCGGCTCCATTACCGACGTCCACCCGAGCGACGGGAGGCTGGCCGAGTGTAAGAAAAGGTTCCTCTTGCTCGTCGGCTCTCATCTGGCGATGGGAGCGGTTCTCAGGAACTTGGTGAAGCTCAAGGCGGGGCACGTCGAACAGGTGCTCTCCATTCTCAAGGACGTCCCGGTGGTCGTCCCGGCGGCGGAGCTCTCCCAGAACATGATGGCCTATCTCATGGACTTGGTTTGCTACTTCAAGGCTGGCTCTCCTCCCTCGGACAAGGTTGGAGCCAACATCATTAGCGTCTGCGAGTTCGTGCTGGATTACCTCCAGTGCGCTACAGGAGCTTACCGCAGAGCTCCTGGGTCCTTCTTCCGGAGCGGCACTGGACAGGCACCCGCGGTGATCTACTTGGCCATGGTCGCACACACTTGCTACGTCTTGAATCCGGGGAGGTACGCAAGATCCAACTTTGACACCGTCTTGACGCTCGTGGGGCCTCTGGACATCGGCTGCCTCACGCCAGAAGCTCTGGCGGAATGGGTCCAGCCTTTCTTTCCAACGTCGGAGACTGGTTTTCCCGTTCGCAGCAAGATTGGAGAGCTCCTCGGCCACTATGTTACGTCGACGCTGGAGGAGAACCCCCCGGCCATCTCCTGGTTCTTCTTCCACGCCATGGCCAACTTTGCGTCCAAGGCTTGCGAGAGTCACGACCAGCTCTACGATCTTATCAAGGCCTACATGAAGAAGAACCCGCAGACGTCCGAGGGGCTCAAGCAGGCGTTCGAGAGCATGCTGGACCTCGGCAAAGTGTCGGCGGTGAAGGCTGGCGGGATAGCTTGCTGCAACTCGCCGTTTCTGCTCAGCTCGAGGTTCAAGGACGCGGTGAGCAATAAGTGGAGTTCCGAGTTCGGCAGGCAGAAGCTTCGGAAGCGCCTGTTCGACGAGTTGTCTCCTTACGATGATGATGATGACGAAATGACGCCATTCGAGTGCTCCTCTAATTGAAGAGACGAAAACAGCACTGCAAGGTACTCTTTTCCTCCTGCTTGCATACTTTCCTACGTTATTGCTGTTCAACTACAGGATTATTCTAGGCGATGTATACGACAAGTAGAAGATTTGACACGTTCTCGAAAAAAATCCTTTTTTCACTACTGTATAGAAAATCTGGAGTATCTTCGCCAGTTTCTATGTGATCCAGTCGTTTTGCCTGACCAGGACTGCCTCGTTTGCATTGGGAGTTCATGAAGTGCTTCTTACTGTTTTGACGTTTTATTCATAGTTGCTCACTTGGAAACAGTGTGGTCGAGAAGACGACATTGGAAAGAGTGAAAGACTCCTCACGCTGAGGAGTTGGCCGAGGTATATATTCTCTCGCAAGGTTGCTTGTATTTTACTGACAGTGTGGTCCTCTTCTAGGCTGAGAAGAGATGGCGGGTGGAGGGGCGGTTGATTCGACACTGGAAGTCACACCAACATGGGCCACTGCGTCCATTGTCAGCGTGATTGTCCTGGTTTCAATGGCTGCTCAACGTGGAATCCATTTCACTGGACTGGTGAGAGGTTGTCGCTTGAGAGAGTTCTTCTTTTTTATCCCCGGTGTTGTTCCTGCAGTGGTTTAAAGGTCGGAAAAGCAATCCTCCAATTAAAGCTGCTCTGGAAAATATCAAAGAAGGTGATTTTGATGCTTTTTGTTTTATGCATCAGACGATTTTGTTGTCAGAGTTGATGCTCCTGGGATTCATATCGCTGCTCCTCGCGGTTTCGCAAACCTTTACAACAGAGATATGTGTTCCTCGAAGTCTGATCCAGACAATGCTACCCTGCAAGTCATCAAACGTTACTGTGGCCCCGACCAAAAGCTACAATCGCAGGCTGCTCGTGTTTCGACGGGATTTAGCTTCCGATACAGGAAATAGCACAAAGTGTATTGACAAGGTAACAATTTTGGTAGTTCCAGGCATCGCAATAGTAACATTCTTTGATTTCTTTTCATTTTTTCAGGGAAAAATGCCAATTCTCAGTGGCACCGACATCCATGATCTTCATATGTTCATCTTCATTCTCGCGGTGGTGCATATTTCTTATAGTCTTGCAACTGTTTACCTCGGAGGAAGAAAGGTTGTCTTTCGTGGTGGAAGTTGTTCTACCATTAACTTGTGTTTTCAGATCCATGCCTGGAAAAAATGGGAAGCTGACACTCAAGCTGACGGTATTATAACTTACTTCTTTTCTTCGGTGATGTCATTTGTGGAGTGTTTTTGACAGACGTACAGACGATGCCTGCTAATCGCGAAACAAAATTTATTCGCAGGCATGTCCGGAACTCTTCCTTTGTCATAGGAATTCTGGTTAGCGTTGTCTGTGCTCTTTGTTGCTTTTCTAACCGTTTCGTTTCTACAAGGTGACGCTTCTGCAACAATTTGGCTGGTCAGTCACGAAAGAAGATTACTACACTCTTCGACACACGTTTATCATTGTGAGTGGGAGATTTGGCCTACTTGAAACATCGCACTAAATATCTGGTCTCAATTTCTTACAACAGAATCATTCAAAAGACAACAGTTTTGACTTCCATGCGTTTTTGAAGACAGCAATTGCACAAGATTTTAAAACTGTCATCGGGATGAGGTGAGCTTGGTTCAGATTTTTCTTCTTGAGCTAACCAGTGACTTGCAGCGAGTACTTTTGGGTGTACGTCATTGTGTTCTTCTTGCTCAATGTCCATGGTATTTCTTTATCCTTTTGCGATGATTTTAACTTTGACTCACTTGCTCAGGCTGGCATACGTATTTCTGGATTTCATTCGTCCCCATTCTTGTAAGTGAGATAAACTAATCATTTCTAGTAAGCCCACCACAAGTTCACGCACACCAGGTCCTCATTTTGCTAGGCGCAAAGCTTCAGTACATCCTCGGGACACTAGCTGTGGATATTTTGAAGGCACCTGGTGAGCCTGTGCAAGTTCGAGATAAGTTTTTTTGGTTTGGCACGCCTAGAATACTTCTGCACTTGCTTCACTTCTCGATCTTTCAGGTAAGCTTGTTAATTTCGCATGTGTCCTGTTTACTAGAATTTGTGGTTCTTCTCTGGATAGAATGCGTTTGAGCTAGCTCTTCTGTTTTGGATGTGGGTACGTACCCAACTTTCTCTCAACATGTTATGTTTGAATGAGCTGAAGCTGTCTTTTCACAGGCCTCATTCGGATGGCACTCGTGCCTTATTGACAACAAGACGACAGCAATTTTGCACGTATCTTCCGGGTAAGGTTTGAAATATATTTCCACAGCTTCTTAGATTTCCATAAACGCCGCTGCAGCATCTTGATCTTAATTCAGTGCAGCTACACAACGCTTCCTCTCTATGCACTGCTTTCTCAGGTAGACTAGTATCTCGTTTCAGTTACCCAGTCTAAAGCATTTTCTTGTGTAAAGATGGGGCCCCAGAACAAAGGCAAGCACAAAAACTCGGACGTTCCGGATCCGACTCAACCTCCACCTGGAGAATTGGACGAAACAAATCGAACGGAGACGAGGGCTGTGGACACTGAGGTGCAAGCAGCAACACGGCACGATGAGTTGTAGCTTAGGATCCAGGTGGAAGAACAATGATTATGAGGAGCGCCCGCGATCATTCTTTTCCTCGAGAAGTTTGGATGAATGGCGCTCCCCGGAGTTTTATGTCGTTAGAAACAGAGAGATTCACAGATTTTCATTGGCGAAACTGTAGTTCGAAGTTCCTAGTTCGTAGATTGGAGAACTTGTCGAGGACGCTCTCGTACGATTGCTTGAACAAGTCAAATTGATAATTGCGTACCTCTTCCTCCAGATCGAACTTAAGCTTTCCCATGAATGGATGGTCACGCTAGATTTCCTGGCGGTCTTGGACAAGGCCAAGAACAACGATCTCTTGTATGCTGCAGAGTTGCAGCGATGTGGGGCTTCGAAATCCATTGCCGAAGGCCGCCGTGTTCATGCCTTGCTCTTGGAGCGAGGCCAACTGGGAAACTTTCTCGCCAACCATCTCATTAACATGTATGGAAAATGTGGCTGTCTCGAGGAAGCTCGCAGGGTTTTCGACTGGATCAACAACAAGAATCTGTTCTCGTGGACTGCCGTTATTTCTGCATATGCCAAGAACGGGCATTTTGAAACAGCGTTGGAGCTCTTCCAGGGGCTTGACTGCGAAGGGATCAAGCCCGACAGCGTCGTCTTCTTGGCTGTGGTAGAGGCGTGCTCAAATGACAGGAAAAAGAAAAACAGTCTAATTCTACAGGAAGCCGGGAGAGTTCATGAGCGACTGACACGGGAAGGATTGATGACTTCTTTTGTGAGAAATTCGGTGATCACAATGTACGGATGCCTCCACAGGCCTGACCAAGCTCTACTGGTTTTTCAGGAAATGGCTGGCTTTAGAGACGTCGTCTCCTGGACAGCCGTGATAACAGCTTATGGCCGGAATGGGCATTTTTGTGAGGCTTTGAGGCTCTTCTGGGCGATGGAACAAGACGGAATAAAGCCGGATGCGGTGACAATTCTCGCTCTTCTTGATGCTTGTGCCTTGGAAGGATCGTCAGAGAGCTTGTTTACAGGCAGGGCTATTCATGCTCGAATCTGTGCTACTGGATTGGATCTTGATGTAGTCGTGATGAACGCAGTGATTTACATGTACACGGGCTGCAAGGAGTGCTCAGAAGCGAAGCAGGTTTTCGATGGATTAAAAGGGAAGAAAACTTTGGTGTCGTGGAATGCGGTGATCTCGGCTTATGCCCAAAGCGGGCATATGTTTCTAGCTCTGCAAGTCTACAAGGAAATGCTGTGTGATAAACTGGTGCCGAACGAGATCACTCTCGTCTTGGCTCTCGACGCTTGCTCCAATCTGTCGTGCCTGGAGAATGGCAGAGCAATCCACGACAAAGCCACTGAGCTTGGAGTTGAGAAGAATATCTTCGTAGAGAATGCGCTGGTGGACATGTATGGTAAGTGTGGAAGCCTTGAAGACGCACTGACTGTCTTTAACTCCATGAAGAAACGCGACATTGTTTCATGGACTGCGATGATCGCTGCTTATGCTCGAAACGGCCATAGCTCCAGAGCTCTAGAGATCTTTCGCATGGTTCTCGCTGAGGGCCTGAGACCCGATGGAATCACCTTCGTCGCAGCGCTAGAAGCTTGTGGGAACCTCGGAAATGCGTCGGAAGGCGAGACCCTTCACGGCTGGATCCTTGATTCTCCTCAACTCCGAAACAACGAACTCGTCTCCACCGCCGTCATCAGCATGTATGATCGATCCGGCAGACTCGAGAGAGCCAAGCTCGTTTTTGATGACCTCTCCTCCAGCTTAAGCCGGTGTCCTTCTCGCTGGAACTCGCAGGCGATCGCACTGGCCGAGCACGGACTGAGCTCTTCAGCGATTCAGCTCTTCTGGGAGATGACTCTCCAAGGCGTTGACGTGAACGCCATCAGCTTCGTGACTGCCATCTTTGCATGTAGCCACTCGGGCATGCTGGTTTTGGGGTTGGATTTCTTCTTGCAGCTGCATCCAGACTTTGGGATTGTGCCACAGCCTTCGCACTACATCTGCATGGTCGAGCTTCTGGCTAGGATTGGACAAGTAACCATGGCAGTCAATTTGATTGAGAGCATGCCTTACGAGCCTGACGTTGTGGCATGGATGGCACTTCTGTGTTCTTCAAACACAAACTTGGAATTAGCCACCATGGCTGCACGACAAGTCCTTGGAGGTGATGGAAAGAGAGCTGGAGCTTATGTCTTGCTTTCGAATTTGTGTGTTCCTGCTGGAAGACGAGAATGGATGGCTCCACGTACGCTCAAAAGCGAGCATTGCTCAGGTACCAGAAAAACTTCTCACCTGCTGTCTCAGTCACTATGATGTGGAGGAGCTCCCACAACTCCAATGTAAGCTCACACAGCTTATATGATATTCTTAAACAATTTTTTCAGATCTTTTACAAGGTATAATAAAATGATTAGGGAAATGCTTTGGGATGAAATGTTGTTTATTCATCAAACATGTCTTGAAAGTTTCTAAGGGCATGATCCACAAATTCCACGTGCAGTCACGTTATAGCTTGAAACTGAGATCCGAACCATGCGTTAGCATTATCTAAAGTTTTTATTACAAAAAATGACTAATGCTATTAACTGTAAACAAAACTTTTCGATTCTTTCTGTTAATTAGCTAACCTTAGAATATGCTGCCACATTCTACACTCTTCACCAAAATGCTAGAGAAGCTCGAGGATCCGGTAGATTTCCACTGAATTCTTCTCGTCCTCTTTGGCGCAGGCAGAGCTCCGGGCCAATGTGCTTGAGACGCCAATGCCTTTTGATTGGCAATCAAGGAAGCTCTTGTGATATGCGAGTGCTCTTATTTGCCCAAATCCAACGTTGTGTTCACACTTCTGGTTAAGATTATTTACCAAACTGTCGCTGCCTGCGCCAGATTCCCAGTCGCGGCAGAATTGTCGTTTCTGGGTTTCCTCGATTCCCTTTGGCGCGAGAACTGGACTATTGAATAAGCTTGCTTACGCAAGGAGACGAAAGTGGCATAGAAAGCGCCTGACGTCGTGCGTAGCGGACTGCCCGCTCATCCTGCTGGCGTCGGATTTGCTCCTCCTGCTCGGAATCCAGCAAGATTTTAACTAAACGATCGTGCTGCTGTCTAGTCCCAATTGTTCAATGACACTAGAGAGCGCAAGGCTCCTACCGTGGTTCGAACCCGCGAAGTTTGGAAGGTGACCAAGTCTCGCCTTGCTAGTTGACCGTTTGCCAAGTCTTTGATGCTGCACCAATAGTTTTTACGCCGGATGTGGAACGAGGCCAGGAGAGCACTATCCCCATGTATGACATCATGCCATTAGTTTGACTGTTTGCAGGCGCGAGAAAGTCCGAACGTGTTATGGAAAAGCATTCATTTATATTATATAGATTCCACTTCTGCTTAAACAAGTGATCCTTAAACAAGAATCCACCACCATCCCGTTTCACGTTCGCGAAGCGTTTGACCAGAAGTGAAAGCTTGCAGCTACTATAAAAATCATGCCTTACGGACAGCTGCACCAGAAATGGATGTGATTAGTAAGGCAAATTCTGAATCTCTTCAAGATTGCAATCAATCAAGCAGCAGTAAAGTTGTTCAATATGCCTTCCATGTGGTTCGGCCTGAGCAGGTTCCAGCACCTTCACCTCATTTTCTCTCAAGCATTGATCTTTGCTACAGCAAGCCAGAATTCTCCACACTTGTGCTCTTCTTCAAGGATTGCTTCTCGCCGGCCGCCGGAGCCAAGAGTCTTGTAGACAGCCTCAGGTCTTCACTTTCCAAGGTGCTAGTATTTTATCCTGTTCTCGCTGGAAGGCTCAGGGAAAACGAGAGTGGAAGGCTCGAGGTAAACATGAACGGTCAAGGCGTCCACTTTGTGGAGTCAAAGGTGGACTCGAGCTTCCAAGATTGGGAAGACATACGCCAGTGCCCACTAGACATAGATTTATCACTCGACACCAGAGTTGTCAATCCCAGCGATGTTCCTCTTATCAAGTTCCAAGTGACGCAGTTTCACTGTGGGAGCATTGCCATAGCAGTCCATTTCTTGCACATCATTTTGGACGGCTCCAGCCTCTACAACGTCCTCAACGCATGGGCTAAAGTTCACCGTGGCAGCACATTATTTTGTGAGAGCTTTGTAAGAGGACGGGAGCTCTTGGCTCGGGATCCTCCAAAGGTGGACGCACCGGTGCCTTTCATCATTGACGCTGCTGCACACGACAAGCAACTTGATGCAAGCAACATCGTGCCTTGCAATCTGGTGACACTTCGAATGGAGCAAGCCGCTATAGACACTTGCAAGCGAGAAGCTCAAACCGGCGCCTTTGCCTACAACGGTGGAAAAGCTACAGGCTTTGAGGCCGTGTTGTCCCTGCTGTGGTCGTCCATGCTACGTGCACGGGGAGTTCCTCAACACCTTGACACGGCTCTCTTGTTCTCTATCAACCTGCGGGGCCAGAAGCTAGCACTCGTCCCTCAAAACTATTTCGGTAATGCCGTTGCCAATTGTCAGGTTCATGTGTCTCGAGCTGGCGACATAGTTGCTTCGGACTTATCGTATGCTGCGCACCTCATACACAAAGCGAAGATCTCCTGCAATAGAGCGTCGGTGCAGAGCATGCTGGACTGGCTGGAGCTGAATTCTGCTCATGTTCACAAGGAACTTCACTGGAGGCGGGGAATCACATCCACGAGCATCACCAATTTCCCCATGTATGGTCTCGATTTTGGGTGGCGAGGAGGAGCACTTTCCCAGCTTTGCTTTCTGCCCAGCAAAGTTCCACCACACATGCCATTTGTTGCAATGCTGCCCTCACCAAGACCCAAGTCAATAGAGATTGTCATTGGGCTGCACCACCACGACAGAGAAGTGTTGCTACAAGACCATCTCTTCACACGTTATTTCTCAGCTTCAGAAATTAAGCTGTGGACTGGAGATCACATATGTAGAGCATTGAGGAGAGTCCCAAAGTAGTTGTTGGCTTTCACACAATTTGCTATTGCATTGCAACTTGGTGTTTCTTGCATTGATTATGACTTATTTGCATCATATTTTTTAAGTAATAAGAAATTAAATCTTAACAAGATTCCCTTTGTTACATTTTGTTGAGAACAAAAATCCATGCATGAGATCTCTTTGCGTGCGGGCAATGTAACTCTCCTCCCCACGCTACATAGGTGTTGTTCTTGCATTCAGTGTAGACTTGCAGTCAAAGCATTGCATCAGATTGTTAGCCAAGGTCAACCCTTACCTTAATGAAATGATTTGTGCAAATAAAATTATACTTAACTTAATTATTTAAGTATTTTCTTTCTCTCCATTGGTGTTCGCAAAGTTCGATGCAAAAAAATCTTTTGTCACTCTTTGATCACTCCAATTATACTTGATGAGATCCTATTTTCGCAAGACCTCTACTACTACTACTACTTTTTGCAGCGATGGATTGACCACCACCTTGACCCCTGATCTGTAGATAAACCCTAAACCTAGCCATGTGACCTGATGATGTGGCAACAAAGCTGAGCTGTAATTCCATACGTGGCATTGAGCTGGAGTTCATCAAGAAGTCTTTTTTATACTTTTACCTGAAAATACGTGTATTTTGCCAATGCCGTACACGTAGGTTTGGAGGTGTTAATTACCAACAACAAATTGATTGCTATAAATATTACATATCTATGATTTTTCATAATTAGATCACTTATTTCCATCCCTGCTTATGTCAATAGGTTGAGCTTCTGCTAGGTCTTTCTAGGATTCATCAATTGTCCATGTAAGA